CATGGGGTGTAGAGAATGAATTTGAAGATGGCATCTGAGCTGACTCTTAAAGGTTGAGTAGGAGTTAGCCATCTGAAAAAGGGTGGTGATGGAAAAAAAGGGAGAGGGGCATTCAGGCCAAGGGAACCTGAAGGAAGCTGTAGAGAAATGAATTGCATGATATATGCGAATTATAAACAGACTGACAATGTTAGAGGAAAAATGCAAGTTATGAGGTTGACAAGGTAGGCATCTTGGTGTATTGTATAAGGAGTTTGAAGTGTTTTTATAGGTTGGGGGGGACTGTAGATAGCTCTTAAGCAGAAAAGTGATGTGGTCAGTTGTGCATTTTAAATAGTGAATGCAGCTGGATGTAGGGGATAGATTTAGCCAGGTTAAGATTGGTGGTAAAGAAAGTCCTTAAAGAAGCTGTTGTAGTAATCCAGGTGAGAGATAATTGGGACCTGAACCAGGGCTGTGGTAGTAGCGGTGTGGAAAGGTGAGGCAGATTTAAGAAATGTTTAGAAGTAGCATCAGCAGGAATTTATAATTGATTGGGTGATTGGAGGTTGTGGTCAGAAGATGGAGCAGTATCAGGTGGTTCTGCCTGGCCAGGCAGTAAGTATGAGTGGCTAAAGTGGAAGTGAAAGTTGTTGGACTTGAGGATTGGTTTTTGGCCTGGTCACTGACATTACTCAGGATAATGGAGAAATTTGTGTATCAAATGGCAAAATATATAATAAATGTTGGGATGTGATCGGTCATTGACAGGACTGGTAAATGACAACGATGAGGAAGGGTTAGAAGGTGGTATATCCAGATGATGTGTGAACATCAGGGGAGTACAAGTGGCATAGGAGAACTGTAAGAATGCTCAATGCAGGAGCTTAGTAACGTTCTAGTTCTGGCCCTGCTGTCCCTAAGTTCATCTGCTGCAGCTTCTATATTAGAATTAAGAGTGAATTCTCTACTTCCCTTCACTTTTGGCTACATTTCATTTAAGGAATGAATTGATTGGGGTGGGAGGCTGGTAGTGAGAGTACAAGGGACCAAAAGCAGTATTTTGGAGGCTGGGGGAAAAATTGGGGTAATATCTAATAGCCATTTCTGCTGAATATGTAGCACTAAAATTGCATATAACAGTCTCTCTTAGAGGAAGTCACTATATTTCTCCAGTTGGGTCTGGACATAGGGCAGCATCCGCTGGGTGTGGAGAGTCGTAGGTTTTATTTTTTAATAAATACTTTGTAAAATTTAAGAAACACTTATTAAACACTACATTGTGCCAGGCATTGTGTTAGGCTCTGGGAATATAGGAACGCATAAGACTAGCTCCTGCCATTGAGTGGCTCACAGGTTCTTTCCTTGCCCTTACAGTATAGTGGGGATTGCAGCTGCTGAGTGGGAATTCTGGAAAGCATTGCGCACCTGAGCCCCCAGCATGGCGGGCCTAAAGCGGCGGCGGGCAAGCCAGGTGTGGCCAGAAGAGCATGGTGAGCAGGAGCATGGGCTGTACAGCCTGCACCGCATGTTTGACATCGTGGGCACCCACCTGACACACAGAGATGTGCGCGTTCTTTCCTTCCTGTTCGTTGATGTCATTGATGACCACGAGCGTGGCCTCATCCGAAATGGACGTGACTTCTTATTGGCGCTGGAGCGCCAGGGCCGCTGTGATGAGAGTAACTTCCGCCAGGTGCTGCAGCTGCTGCGCATCATCACTCGCCATGACCTGCTGCCCTACGTCACCCTCAAGAGGAGACGGGCTGGTGAGGGTGCAGCAGGGGCTGGGGACACTGGAGTCAGGGAAGAGTTGTGGGAAGCCATGAGTGAGCAGCGTAGGAGTCCAAGCGGGAGGAGGCATTGACCCCGGGAAGTACCGAGGAGAACAAGTTGTGAGGCCCATTGGAGGGTTGGACTAGGAGAAGGGAAGGGTGTATCTTCTCCTACATGAGTCCTTCTCTCTCTACAGTGTGCCCTGATCTTGTAGACAAGTATCTGGAGGAAACATCAATTCGCTATGTGACACCCAGAGCCCTCAGTGATTCAGAACCGAGGCCCCCCCACCCCCCTAAAACAGGTGAGAAGATATTAACTCCCCCTAATGTCTGTAATCAAGAAAGAGGACACTGGATCTGTCATTTTCCCAGCTTTGCCAGCCTAAAGAAAGGACTTTGTCCTCCCCCTCCCCCCATATCTGGCAGCATAAAAATCAGATGATGTGTTAATACTTCATCAGGTCCTGTAATTGTTCCCACATTGTGTCCACCTTTCAGGTCACATTATTGATACTGCTCCTAGTGCTAAGTCTAAATGATTCCTTCCTCATTCCAAGGAAGTATTTGAATTTCTGCTTTTACCCTGCTATGTCTTCTCCCTTTTTACCCTCTGGTCAGTGCCTCCCCACTATCCTGTGGTGTGCTGCCCCACTTCGGGCCCTCAGATGTGTAGCAAGCGGCCAGCTCGAGGGAGAGCCACACTTGGGAGCCAGCGAAAACGCCGGAAGTCAGTGACACCAGATCCCAAGGAAAAGCAGACATGCGGTGAGAAAGTTCAAGGGTTCTAGGTGTGGAGTAGACTTGAGGGGAAATACAAAGAACTGCTGGGTTGCTGGGCAATTTATGCTGTTCAGTGCAAGGTTCACTTTGATTGTTATTGCAAAGTGAGGTTGAATGGCTTAGTCTCTGGAAGGAGAATTCCTCTACTTTGTGGCAGAGTACATTCCAGTTCTTTCTAGTTAATACCAGATGAAAGAGATGCCGTTACGCCATCCTTATTGTAGGATGAACCAAGTCATGATAGAGTATTAAAGTGAACTTCTGTGTGTTAATTAGGAAAATATCTCCTAGAATCAAGGTGCTACCTGTAAGTGATGGAAATAATCTGAGCCGGCATGGCTCATTTAAGGGAACTTCTTGAGTTCAGGCAAGGATTTCAGAGGTACATAGAAAAGAACTGGTTCTGGGAAGAGAAAGAAGCTGTCCTGTGGTATTCCCAACTTTGCTACTCTGCTGCTCTTTTCAACCTTGCATGTGAACTCAGACCTCACTGCAACCTCTTCTGCATATATTCTCTTCCCCACAGACATCAGACTGCGGGTTCGGGCTGAATACTGCCAGCATGAGACTGCTCTGCAGGGCAATGTCTTCTCTAACAAGCAGGACCCACTTGAGCGCCAGTTTGAGCGCTTTAACCAGGCCAACACCATCCTCAAGTCCCGGGACCTGGGCTCCATCATCTGTGACATCAAGTTCTCTGAGCTCACCTACCTCGACGCATTCTGGCGCGACTACATCAATGGGTCGTTACTAGAGGCACTTAAAGGTGTCTTCATCACAGACTCCCTCAAGCAGGCTGTGGGCCATGAAGCTATCAAGCTGCTGGTCAACGTGGACGAGGAGGACTATGAGCTGGGCCGACAGAAACTCCTGAGGAACTTGATGCTGCAAGCATTGCCCTGACCTTTTCCCCCTTCTCACTTCTCTGGGGACTGTTCCCACCCACCTCTGGAGCTTACATACTGTTCTGGGGTTTGTTCTCTACCCTTCCAACCAATCA